CAGGAATGTCAGTGAGCATTCATCCATGGATAATTTAACAGCTGAGCACTCACTTGTAACTGAAAGGTAACCTCCAGGTTTGAGGACAGGAGAGAGAGGTGCCACAGTCACAGGCAAATAGAAAGGTTGAAATCCCTCTCTGTGCTGGGGTGGGTGTAGCACGCATCTCTTCCCGGGAACAATAGCTCCCCAGAAAGAAGACTGATCTCCTAGGCAGGACAAACCCAGCCGTGGGGACTCTAAGACCCACAAAAACTGCATTATACAACCACTGCTATGGAGCAGCAGATGGACCCACTCTTTGTATGTACGTACACATGAGTATTTGCAGAGGGGAAAGGGCTCCCACTCAGCTTGGTCTTCTAAGGACAGTTCATCATCTCGTTTGAAAAGTCTAGGAGCAAGCAGCTGAGTGACTTTCCAGAATGACTTAAGCAATTCCAAAATCACATATTTTGACATCACAGTTGATGATCATCATAAAGAAACTTCTGCACTTTTGGTTATAAGTAAATCTAGTGGGACTATAACCTGAATCTGGGCTCTGTTCATATCTGGGTTTAACTGCATGGAAGAAGGTTTTTAATACAAGCTGTGCCAATGGGATAATTGCAAATAATGCCAAGTTTCTTATGCTTTGCAGCGGGAATTACTGAACGAGACACATCCAAATCCTATAATCATCTGCTGGATGGAAAATCTTTGGTAAGTAAATACAGCAAGACCAACTACCACAGTCTGATGCATCCTGAAACACAGTACCTGTCAACATATCCCACATTAACAGCATATCAGTGTCACAATATGTGCAGACTTCGCAGTATTTGTTAAGGCTTTGAGCCATGATTTGTGCCAGAGGATCCTTAGCTGGGAGCACAGAATGGCATCGGACGGCTGCCCCTCAGGGAACCAGGAAGGCTTGTGAGGTGGAATTAGGCAGGATCCCATTCTGGATGCTCAGCCACTTGCAAGAACTGGGAAGAATTAACCCCTTGTTTCTCAGGGAATTTCAGAAATTGGGAAAAAATTAGTTTCTAGAGTAGAACAGGCATCAAATAATTTACATACTCCAGAACGCCAACCTGGTACGATAATCAGATCAATAAAAAATGTCAATAAAGTGTTGATGGCAAAATCGTCATACAAAACCCAAAAATTTTTTCTGTAATGGACAGAGAAAATATTTTAATTAGAAATGACTCAGCTTTACTAAAACATTTTCCCTCTCTTCTTTTTATTACCAAAAACCAATTTTCAAAGTCCCTGCATTTTGTAAAAACTAGATTTTCAAACAGAAACTACTCCTTTGAAAAGTTTCTGACCGACACCAGACCATGCTGTAGAAACTCTATGGCCTCAAATGCTCTTTTGGATGCCTACAATATGCTTGCTAGCTGGTAGCTGGGCTACACTCAAGAAAAATAATTGTACAATATTGAAGGACTGTCAAAATTAATGATATTCAGTGTAATGAAACTAATTGCACCTATCAATAATTAACCCAGTTAAATTTCAAAGGATGCTTGCAAAAGTGATTTCAAACATCTTTAAGTCTTGGGATACTTGCAGAGCACACCTAAATCTATCCAGTCTCAGATTAATCCCAGGGGAAACAGCCCTAGACAGCTTAAGGCCAGTTATAGTAATGACAATAATATGAAGAAATTTCTCAGTATTGCCAGTAAAATCAGTAAGTGTGTTTATTGCCTGAAATGATGAGAGCACATCACAACGTTCGTTGTTTTTTTCTGTTTCTGGGCAACCCACACTTTAGCTTACTATCTTGGAGGATATGTCAGTCTCAGTCGTCTGTTAACAGGAATATGTGACTCAATTCTGGTGGGCAATTTAAATAAGACAAGGAGTAAGTCAATTATTAGGCACTTGTGTGGCCATGTCAGAACTGTGAGGCCATGGCGGTGTGAACCAGGGCCCCCCACACCACAGAACAGCACCCAGCAAAATGGGGAAACGTTTCTGAATGCTCAAGAAACAGCAATGGCTGGGACAGCTGCTTCCCAGCCAGCAGTTGAGGTGATCTATGAAGAGCTGCAAGAGGCAGGCTGCTCACTCTGCATGAAGTCTTACCTCCTTGGGAAGCCAGACATAAAAACTAGGGAATAAAAAGTTCTGCAAACCTCCTTCTTTCAGTGGGAGATATAATTCTTGCTCATATGAGCCTTGTGCTGAGGTCTGTGACACTGTTCATGTGAGCAACCAGTATTTGTGTGGGTAGGAGTTGGCCATTCAAGTCCTTAGCTAGCCTTCTTTCTTTTATTAAGAGATTAACCTTACCCATTCATTTTCCTAAAACTGCCTCCTTTCTCAGACAAACCTGGGGTCCCTACCCATCAGTGGCATTTCCTAATGATGTACTTTTTCCTCCCACAGTTCCCACCATCGCCAGTTACCCGTATCACAGTGAAAGCGGCAGCTGCCCCAGACTTGCCCACAGGGGCAGGCACTCCTACAGAGGAGTAAGTCCTTCCCACCCCTCCCACCCCTCCAGCCAAGCCTGGTGTGCTGCCAGGCAGGGAAAGGGACAGGGCACCTTCACCACAGGTCACCCTCTCACCAGAAACACAAAGAAGTGTTCAGCTGCATATCTTGTCCAAATCACAGCTGTAAAACCTCAGTGATTTACAGTAAAGCCATGCTCCTTGCTTCACAAAGAGATCAGCTGAAGGACATGCTGATTATATCGTCAGCCATGGCCATTTATACAGCTGCCCCAGTGCCAGTTACAGCTGTGTTTCTGTCACTAGAAAGAAAAGCATCTAAATTCAAAATTTAAGTATTTTCACCTTAAGCAGTCTATAAGGCTGTTTAGAAAAAGTAAAGAAATATGTTTTTAAACAAAGCTTTATTGTCTTTCAGTGTAGTTAAGGAAAAGCTTCACCACAGCACTCATCAGTAGAGAGTTAACTCAGACATAGCTCTGGGTGATATTTGAGATGCTGCCATTGCCACCTGAGGGACAGTAACAAGCTCATTGTCACAGTGTCCTTGTACTCCATACACGGAGACATAAATCCACCTCAGCCAGTGTAAGACAGCATAGCCCCCTCGTCCAGGTGGAGCTCAGCCGGCCTGGGCGCTGCCCCATGGTCGCTGGGTCTTTGGTGGCAAACACTACAGAGGATGTTCTCAGTAGTGGTCCCACTTGTAACCAATCCATTCGTGTGAGTGTTCACTCTGATAGTAAGGGACCAAGGGGCACCAAGCAGAGTGGGGGTAGCCGCAGCATCCAAGCCTACTGCCCAGCACAGCCCCTGCTCATCCCAGACTTGCCAGTCCCAGGGACAGGTGAGGCATGGATGTAACTTTGCAATCAGGCAGCCCTTGGTTTTCAGTGGCCAGTCACCATTAGCAGGGGAGAAGGGCCACAGAGATGAATGCTTTATGCATCTGCACTTTATTTGCTAGTCACAGGAAGCGCTGGAGGAAGATGGCAGAGTACGACCTGGCCCTGCCACCAGGAGCTGAAGCTTCTCTACCCCTGACGGGGGGCAGCCTGTGTGGTACACCCAGCCTCCTGAGGAAGATGTGGATGAAGAACAAGAAGAAGTCAGAGTACCTGGGGGCAACAAACAGTGCCTTTGAGGCGGACTGATAAGGCTCAGCATCACTTGGAAAGACAGGTCTTTTAGCCAGGACAAGGTGCTCCAGGATCGATGAGGGAACAGCACAGCACAGCTCATCCAGGAAAAAAATATCCTTTTTATTACTCAATGCCATTGCCTCAGAGTGGTGGGAGAAAGGCTAACTAAGGTAAAAACAGTGAACATGATGCAACTCACTGGCCTTTCTTTGTTGCAATATACTAAAATCACAAGTATCCCACTAGATTTATGTCTTGACTAGATACTGAAACTACTGCTGGCCTATTCACCATTTTACATATGCTATCTGAATCAGCTCAGATTGCAACAAGAAAAGCCTACCAAGAGGTTCATGTATTCCTGCAAGGTAACAGATCTGTCACAGAGTGCCATTAAATCCCAGGGGTCTGCTCTACTGTGAACCACTGCTTGTCCTCTTCCTCCTGTCATATCATGAGATAAAACCCACATCTTATGATATGCTTGGTTGAATGACATATGCTAAACTTTTTTTCTTCAGTTTTGATGTTTGAAGACAGGAGTAAAAGATGCAAAAATTGTAAAAGAATGAGTGAGTCAGAACTGAGCAAGTTTGCAAACACACATTTACCAAACTTTCCTGTGTGACAAGTAATTGGTGTTTCAAAGTGTCCTGCCAGATCAAACTATGAGCAACTGGATAACCTCAAGAGATACTTTCTTCATAGAACCTGCTTATATGTTAAGTGATAGTCAGCAACTTACTCTCTATCTATGTGGTACAGGATAGTTCACTAAGTGCACAAAATACTAGGAGGAAAGAAAATATGTAAATGGTGCGACTAGGTGACTAAACATGAGATATTTTCATACAGGAGACCTGTGCTTATGAATAGATGGATTTAATGGAATTTGCTCAAAAATTTTTCTCAAAAACTTAGAAATTATGGGAAAACCTTGGGTTTTCCTCAAAAAAAAAAAGAAGTTTTACAAAAAAGTTTTCACCAGTGTTACAGACAATATTATAATAATATAATAATAATTCTTCATGAGTAGTACTTGCCTCTTATGAGTGATCCCATAGTTATTATAAAAGCTTTGGTTTGCCTAAATAGAGAACTTCAAATATAAAATTGGAGGAAGTGTATCTCCTGTTGCTCAGAGTAATGATGATCTTCTCTAATCTAACTGCCAGTGCTCCAAAGCATAAATGAAAAATAAAGGTCTTACTCTATGACAGAAGCAGAGGAAAGAAGCTCCCAGCTGCGACTTGCTTGCCTGCAGCCAGTAATAAAACATAATAGGTGCCGTCATACACAGTGCCACAGGATGGAGGTGAGGAGGCTCCAGAGCTGTGAACGCACCAAAGGTCGGAACCATACGTTGGCAGTGTTAAGAGTGGTTACAACTCCTTCCCCTCCTAACACAACCACCTGGGCAACTTCTGCACTCGGGGTACCTGCTGACTTCATCCGCTGCTTGTGTTAAGGTCATCTTCAACCTGGACTTAGAAAAAAGCATATTCTGAATTTCTGTTACAGTGCAGGACTGAGGGAGCCTTGGATTACAGGCTGTTACCCCTGGTCAGAGGTCACCAGCTCAGAGGTACCAGGGTACCACCTAGTCAGGAGGGAAAGGCTGGTAAAGAAACCATGTCCTCTGGCTTGGGGTGAGCAGGGTGGAGCAGCACATGGAAAGGGTTTGGAGCCTGGCAACCTGAGAAACCAAAGTCTGTGGGATGGGAAAGCAACAGGAGTGGCCCAGTAGATTTACAGAGCAAATGTCTCCAGTGGTTCCAAGGAGGGCTGGAGGGAACACCTATGTGGGGCTGGACGTGCTGGAGAAGGCAGTAGGTATGATGGCTTTTCACACAGCCAGAGCCAACTCAGTCCAAGCCTGCCAAGGAGTAGATTTGCACTAGCCCTTCATAAATATCTCTATCAGCCCTCATGTTCAGCTGTCCATCACTGTTTCAGTCACAGGCTTCTGCTTCAGAGGTGCTCAACTACTTACAGAGGACAGCCTTGCAGCTAGAAATCACACAGAGTCTCCCCTCCTCGTTACCGAAGGCGAAAGTCCTTCTCTAGCCCAGCAGCCTGATAGAGGGATGACTTGTTCTCCTGCTTTTTTTCTTCCCCTTGGGAAAGAAGGAGAACACAGCTCCTCATTAACCACACACTGAAAGGCCCAGCTGCTGGCAAGGCAAGGAGAAGAGGCTATGGTGGCCCGCTACTGACCATGTGTCGCCAGCCATGGTGTGTGAGAGCAATGCTGATGCCCGCTGAAGGCTACAAACCTGAAGAGCAGCAGAGCAGTTTTCTCACAGGGATCCACCCCACCTTTAAATTAGAGACTGACACATTGTGCCTGTGTAATAATCCAGACACCATGACCCTGCCAATATCAGGTCCTTCATGACTGAACCAAGCTGGAGCCATAGCCAAGATTTTCCTGAAACATCCTTTACAAATACCACCAACCACACACACACCCCCCTCCTCTATAGCCCACAGAAATCCTGCCAGAAGCCTTGGCCTTGTGGGCTCATGCTCCTTTTACACGTATAGGTAAGGCTAGTAAATTCAGTGGGACCACTCTCTTGCACGTAGGGAGAATAGTAATCACCAGTTCCCCTTTTTGGTGTCCTTCCCCAAGCAAAGCAAAAAAAAAGAAGAGGGACAGACACCGTGAAAAGTCTGTTTGCTGCATTTGGGTTAAGACAATGAGCAGTTGTGGTACCTGCCCTTTTAGCTAACATGACCCATAGAGCATCCAACACAGAGCCCAGGGCAGCAAGTATTTTGTCTGTTGAGAAAGAAGTATTGTAGTATTTAATTTGTTAATTAATAGCTCTAAGCAGTGTGAACATGGAGGCGAGGAGGAGACGATTAATGTTTCTAGATAATAATTGCTGTATCTTGAAATGTGTATTTATGAGGGTTTTATTTATTTAATTTATAATTTGGATCTACAAGAAAGAAAGATTTACAGGAAGCATATTTAATTACTCTATATTCCAGGAAGTGCTGTGGAGATTTCTTGTATTGTAGTAGGAACCTATTTTATTGATTCAAATAAAATACGTCCTAGTCATAAAAAATAAATAAATAAAAGAAACAGGTAGCATGTGGTAACATACATGTCTCAGTGACTTAAAAGCTTTTGGGAAGTATTTAGTAGAAAGTAAAGGCAGGGTTTATGATACTGAAGATTATGAACACCTGATGGCAAAGAACCCAAATCTTGCCCTGCACAGGGAGAGCCTGGAAGTGCATGTTTGTGAGCAGCTCCAGTATCTTACAGGTGGTAGAATAATTGTTTATTATCAGCTACTCAGATAAAAGCCCTGGCACTGCCAGCAGTAGATGTACATTTTCACACCTGACCTCAAGAGCATTACAGACACGATGCTTAGTCTCACCATGTCCCTGGGAGGTAAGCAGTGTCACCTCCCTCCCTCCCATAAAATAAGAGCACCAAGACAGACTCCTCAAGGCTAGTTAAGGCTCTGGTAGAGAATAAAACCAAGTGTTCCACATCTTCAGTCCTACCAGTTGACAAGAATGTCACGAAATTTACCTCAAACACAATACTGGTTTTAGAGACCCTATGCTGAACCACAGCCCAGCCCAAGGTGCGTCGCTTGGGGATGCAGGAGCCTGGGCTGGGGGAGCTGACTCAGGGCTGTGAGGGGAAAGATTTTAAGATACAAGGTAAGAAAATGTATGGTGTTGCTATCCTTCACCAACCCAGGCTTTGGAAAGCCTGCCCGTTAGAGGATCTGCCTGCCTGCCTGTTACCCCCACAGCTATGGTGAAAGAATGACACATTTCTGGTCCTTCCATTACAGACACATTGCCAGAAAAATGTGAAATAGTGATTAAAAAAATAAGTGAACTGTATGATTTTTCCTTCAAAACCAGAAAAGTTGTCAACTATGCAGCTGAAAGCGTCACCTCTGGCATTGCCTGGCGTCATACTTTATAATATCTGTAAGAAGATGCATTTCTCAGATGTGTTTCATGTCATTTTATATTTTTGGGTTCCCTGGAAGTAGAGACTAACTGGGGCACCAACCTGACTGAAATAAACTGCATGATGACAGTCCATCACACTTACAGTAATTCATATTTCATTTCAAAAAAAGGTTTCTAATTTATTCTCACCATTTCAAAAACATCATTGTGATAGAGCTACTTACTAAAATATCCTTCATTACTTTGCATCCACTTTATTTAAATAAACTGTAGTGATTTTAAAGCTAGGCTGCTGTATAAAATAATTCCTACTGATGCCTGAAAAAAAATCTCAGATATACTTTGCCTGCCTTTCTTCCCCTTTTTCACCCACTTTACAGATCCTGTAGCAAACAGGTTTGCCAGAAGAGATGATCATGGACACATTGCTGTTTGGGGGAACATCACACACTTTTTACAGAAAATATTTTTAACTCAAACATTGGCATTCGCAGAATAATTTCACATCTAAGAGTTACCCAGACAGAAAAGTTGCAACATCAGGACTTGCACACACAAAGAAAAATTAAACAAGTCAGATTTCTCAGATGGAACTCTCTATGTGAACTCTACAGACAAAGCAGATGTCAATTAGCCATAAATATTTTATGAGAGTTTTTTAAAATCTCTGTGCTAACTCCATAGATTATTCATGAGTGAGCAGCTCAACCCTACATAGTATTGAAAACGTTTTTTTCTTAAGTGGTGGAACTATTATTTAAATGAATGGGCACACAGATCACTAAAATAAAAAGTGAAGCATTTAGAAGGAAAAAAAGGAGTGGAATATTTAATAAAGTTGGATGAAGGCCCAGAAAAAAACAAGCAGATGAGCTCAAAGTAGAACATGAAATGGAAGCCAATGTGAATGATGCCCTTCTCAGCTATCAGGTTGGATTCACTACAAAAAAAGGCATCATTTTTAGCAGCCTTATTGATAAGCCCAGTGGAGCAGCCAAGGGCCCCGCAGATGACCCAAAGGCAGGAGACCAGCACAGACGCCAGCTGGCAGCCCC